TTAAGGATTTGTATAAAATGTTAAAAATTTAAGGATTTGTATAAAATGTTTTAAATGAAGAATACGTTCGTTTATAGACATGTCTGTAACTTTGAATTTGAAAACAAAAGAAATTATTTTTTTAGTGGGATTTACTTTTAAATGTGTTTGTTTCAGATTTAGAGCAAAACATTCGCTCCTTTTTGTGACTAAACCTATAAATAAAGATTATAAAGAGCATGCATTTACCATATAACTTTAGCTTTTTAGTTAGAGAATTCGTGTTTTACAAACACACGTCTACAAATAAACTGTTGGAAAAAATATTTATTTATATAGATTATTGAGAATATTATGGGACACGTCTTTTTTTTTTTTTTGAGAACCATTATGGGACATATGTCATACTTGTTCTTCATGATCTTCACACTTTACTTTACAACCAATGCGATTTTGCTTGTCTTTGATTCTCTGTTTTTGATAAGAGATGCGACATTATCATATATGAGGTTCCAAAGCATAAAAAAATTCGCAACAATAATAAATAAATAAAAACACTATACTCTTTGTTTTCTCTTACAAAAAAAAAAACACAATTTTTTTTTTTTGAAACTTTAAACACTCAAAGTTCTTCTTAGCAAAAGAAAAAAAAAACACTCAAAGTTCTAATTTCCATCTTCTTCTTTTGTTGCATATATAATTTCATCTCATTACTATCTTGTTAAACGCTAATTACGGAAATAATTTTATAAATTATTTTAACACGTTTCGACACGTTTCCACGTAAAGATTAGCTAGCTAGGACTGATTTGGAAGTTTTGGTACAACTCGACGTGTTTCACGTTTAAGGTATGTCCCACGGCCTCTATAAATAAAGTTTATGATAAACAACATAATATATTGTTGTTTACCAAAAAAAAAACATAATATATTGTTATATTACTCATTTAAAAAAAAAAATCTTGAATAGTGCAAGAAATGGAGTCAAGATTCATAAGGTTCTTCTCTCCAATTCATCTTCAAATCATATAAT